TTCTTCTACCGCTCGGTATAGTTACACTCCGAGTTCTTCTGACCCGCAGTTGACCGCTGCTAATGCTGAGATTGAGCGGCTAAAGACGGAACAAGCGGATCTTCGGTCAACCAACAGTTTGATGCAAGGCCAACTCACGGTATTGACAAATCTGATGGACATTATTGTAGTGGATAACCCGACTTTAGCTGYTGYCCTCTCCCAGATACCGCGTCCTGCACAGCCACCTCCAGCTAGAGGTCAACCGCAGTTCGACGAAGAAGCCGAAGCTATGATGAATGAATATAGAGACGACATTAATTTAAGAGACGAACGTTAAAATTAAAATTYCTGTTTGTATTTTCAGTGTTTTTAAACAATTTATGTTTTTATTTTCGCATTTATATATAAAATTTTCTAATTTTTTAAAAAATTTGAAATTTATTAAAAATATTTTCATTTACAAATTTTTTTTTTGTTAAAAAAATCATATGGTTCGAAGCTAATTCGATGCTAAAATGATGCAAAATTAGCGTCGATTTAGCATTGACATAAGACGGAACCGATGCTAAATCGACGTTATATTAGCGTCGGAAAAAATCGATGCTATTTCGATGCTAAATTAGCATCGAAATATAGCATCGTTTTAGCGTCGATTTGTTCCGACGCTAATATAGCGTCGATTTAGCATCGGTTCCGTATTTTGTCGATGCTAAGTCGACGCTAATTTTGCGTCATTTTAGCGTCGAATTAGCATCGAAATGTAGCATCGAGTTAGCGTCGAAAGTAATCCGACGCTAAATTAGCGTCGAATTAGCGTCAAATTCAGTTTAGCGTCGACAGTTTAGCGTCGAAATGTCATTCGACGCTAAAGTCCTTTAGCGTCGATTTAGCATCGAATTTTACCGACGCTAAAACTGTGTTTTCTTGTAGTGAAACATGCATCTTAAGATATTACTTTTCTTTTAAAAAATATATTATTTAATACATAAACAAAAACAAATATCCAATCTTGAAAAAATTTCCATAATACTATTGGTTACACAATATTCAATAAAGTAAAAAGTTACATAGAATTTTGAGAATATCTTATATTATGAAACAAACAAAAAAACTTGTAAAAAAATTTATATAGAAAAACAGAGGGAGTATAATTTTAAGGGAATCTAAGATGTCTGTTTAACAATAGTAAAGAACATACCTAGTAAAACGTTAGAGACATGACTGTATCCAACACATGATAACAAACACCTTAGGGCAAAATCAAACAACTTACAAAACAATGTTAATAGAAAAAATACCAGCAATTAAAAGTAAGCAGCGAAAATATATTTATAGATCGGCTTTTTTGTTTTCCTTATAAAGCAGAACTCTCATGTGTATGTGTCTAGATTTCACAGTAAGCATGTAGGTAAGTAATAAGAGATGTATATAATTTAATTGAGATACAACTTCTGAGAAAAATATTGTTAGCTCTCTGTCTTCTTATTTCTGTTTTTCTTTTGGTCTAACCAAATTCTTTTCCCAGAATAAATGAAAATATAGGAAACGTTGTATCCTATTCGGATGGACAAATAGATAATCAATAAGAGACAGTAAGATACTTTGGGATGGTCGATTAGCTTAAAGATAGATGTGTAAATGGATGTCGGATCTATTCTTACTATTGCATGTGGGACAAAATGTAAGAATGTTAGAAATTAATCAATGAAGGTTGATATATTATATTATTATTATTGAAGGCTTGAAAAAATTTAAACACCTTTCCTTGTTCACTCTGACGGAAACGATGGGGATAATCTCTTTTGGCCACTGGAATCTCTGCGAAGTAATAGCTCGAGGAGGGAGGATACACCTTAAGAAAGAAGAGAGTATTAATGAGCTGCCAACATCTGAAAATAAGGAGTTAGTTACGCAAGTAAATTTAACTTGGAGAATAGTATAGATAGAAACATGATAGTCTAGTGAGATTTTTTTACCAAGTCTTGGTCAATTAACTCATACTTACCTGCCACCACTCCATGGCTAACAGACGCATAATTTATCCATTTACATGTGATATATTATACCTGTATGGACTTGTTATTCTAAAGTACTACCCTAAATTTAAGTGTTGGAAATTATTCATAAATCAAGGTAAACTAAAAGAAAGCATCCATTTACCTTGATATGTGTACTTTGTACTTAATGGTGTGCATTTCCAGATTTGAGAAGGGGCTTTCTAGTTTTTCCTCAACATGAGCTTGCTCAATCCTGATCTAGTTCAGTGGCATCACCAGAAGCTCTAAATCCAAATCGGTAATTTTCGCCTCCGGAAACAAGCTTTTGCAATCAATTTATTTGTTTAAATTCAACATGAAATGGTACAAGAAAGGACCGGGCTGAGATCTTTCTAAAGTTCACCCGCCACAACTCCGCACACTCTAAGCTCTTTTGACAGCTTCTCCACAAACTGTCACGGGATAAAATGTCGCACGCTGGAATATCCTATCTCGTACTGTACTGGTGCTCTGTTGCCACAATATGAGGCCAAAGAGGTAAGCACCCATTTCCGATCACATTTGGCCACTATTGGAGCCCTGCTTGTGCAGATTTATTTGTGAGTAGTCACAATGGGAGAGAGCATAAATTGATTATTAAAAAAACTTGATCAGCACAATCACATCTAATGTTTAACTATCTCGAGGCACAATATTCTTAGGTTGGTTTATTCCTTTAATGAAATTTAAAGCGAATGAAATGGGAGATATGAATACTACAAGGTGGACATTACGTAGGTTCTCAACCGAGTACCTCGGGCATTCCAACAAATGATAATAGATACGGAGTTCCAATTCTTGAAGCTTGGATCGCAAGCTCTCGATGGCCAATGTGCAGGGCATCAAAATTCCCTAGAGCAACAATACCTCCTGCAATATCATAGATATAAAAATGATGACGTAATAAGAGATATGCAGCCAGAGACGCAGTACACGTAAAACAACAGCTAAAATTGGAGGAGTGCAAAGTAACCTGTAACAATTGTGAAGAAAGAGATTTCTTCTTGCTCTACTAAATAAGACCGAAACCCTAAGTGCCTGCCAAAGTTCCTCGAGGACAGATTTGGACTTCGTAGTCCAACATAGGAGTGGGCAACAACATGGGAGTTGGGAGGCGGAGATCTTGTTGATCTGTACTCGGAGTCAACAAATTCGGAGAGAAGACGAATGGAAGGATTCGTTGTGGGGAACCGTAGATGGAGAGAGTAGTTCGGAGAAGGCGGAGGGTGTGGGATTGTGTGAGGGGTTTTATCCTGAAAGTATATGAAGCGACGAATGAAACTCAAGGAAAGAAGAATAACAATGGAAGCTTTAGGGTTCGAAATTAGCAAAACCATTTGTGATCCGGAAGGTAAAACAAAAAAGACGTTTGGGATTTTTTATATGGTACGTCTCAATGATAGAGTATGCCACGTGTCAAGATATGGAGAGGGTTGATTCTTCTTTGAAATATATGATTCCAAAACACTTTTATTGTTGCAGGCAGGTCTCATCATTGTAGCTTGAAAAGATTAAGGTCTCAATGGTATAGGTGAAGAAGTAAAAATTTAGGTGTAGCTTGAAAAGATTAAGGTCTCAATGGTATAGGTGAAGAAGTAAAAATTTCGCCTAAATTTTTATTTTTATAAAGGAGCATGTGCAAATGCACTCATTGTACACCCCTAGGGCCGGTCCTGGTAAAAAGCGAACATAAGAAGAAGAAAATATTTAAACAGGTCGTTTAAGATGTAAGAAATAAATAATGCAATGGAAAGATGAGAAGATTTTCTATGGAGAAGAGGATACGAAGAATCTATGGGTATGTGTTTTTTTGTGGTTGTGGATTCAAGTAGAGATTTTGTGTGGTTTTCATTGCTAAATGTTATGATTAGACTGTTGCACTTAGTAAAACACAACTACAAAAAGGAAAATGAGGGCTTTAGCTTCAAAGTGATAACAATAAAAATTTTAACTTATTCGCTCACAACTCTCTTTGGTTCTCCAGTGAGGTTATGTGTATAAACAAGAAAAGATACACAAAAGAATATGACTTAGTGATCATAATATCGGATGATACTTCGATTACAATAACTGTATAAGGTGTTGATAAAAAATTGTATTAATCAACTCACTTAATTTTTTCGATCACAATTATATATGAAATAAATATATTCACCTAGTTTTTTTTTAAATATGGTTTTAATTTTTGTTTCATG